GGGCACCCGCGTTACACCAGGCTCCCACGCGCCCCCGCTGGCCATCCTCACCCCCCCACACAGTGACAGGAGGGCACCCGCGTTACACCAGGCTCCCACACACTCCCCGCTGGCCGTCCTCACCCCCCCCTCACACCCCGCACTGGCAACCCCCCACCCCGCACAATGACAGGTGACCGGGCACTGCTTTCGGCTATGCAGGCTGGAATTGGTGGCAGGGGACTACAATGCAGAACCTTCATGTCCTCACCACCAGAGAACCACAGTCAGATGAAGATCAGAGCAGCTTCCTGATGTACTAAAACACCCGGCAGTCTGTAGGTTTCGTAAACCCCACTGCAGGGGGGCTTTCAACGGTGACAGCAGTCTGGTAACTAGTCCAGACATGGCCAGGACCCCATGCAGACACCTCCCCCCCCTCTCCAAATCAGGGTGCTGAGAAACACAGAGCAGATCACATTTGCAGAGAGGATGTTTAAAGACAGAGCCACCCGCCCCCCATCCAAATTCACTCACTCAGCGAGAGGACCTGTCAGACACTGGTTTCAAAGCTGAACCAGCAAGATGACCAGTCAGGCCAAGGCTACCTGAAATCCCAACAAACAAGGAAGGTAGCACAAGCTCCGGTGTCACGTGACGTGTGCCACCTACAAGTCCATGCCACACATGGCGACAGATAACAAGGCACCCAGGACACCCCCAAAGACGTGGATCGGAACTAGACAGAAACATAACTCAAGTGAACAGGGTCATGTCTTCAAACATGAATTGCAAAGTCACGACCACAGCGAACCGGACCTAGTAGGTCTGATATCAAAGGACAAGGGTGCAGAAGTTTTTCCATGAACAGGACTAAGGGCCAGGGGGTTCGGGGGGGTGGGGGGCACAAACAACATAAAAACCAAATGAGTGCAAATTGTGATTAATGGGCCAATAAAGAACAACACGTATGTCACCAAATTCCCCAGCAAACAAGTGGCCTACGGCCAGCCCGGCAAAACCCGGCGGGATGGTGCCGCTCCGAGCATGTCGGTAGACCACCACCGGCCTGGCAAAACCCAGAGGGATGGTGCTGCTCCGAGCATGTCGGTAAACCACCGCCGGCCATGCACGCTCCGAGAATGTCGGGAGACCACCGCCGGCCCGGCAAAACCCAGAGGGATGGTGCTGCTCCGAGCATGTCGGTAAACCACCGCCGGCCAGGCACACTCCGGGAATGTCGGGAGACCACCGCCGGCCCGGCAAAACCCGTAGGGATGGTGCCGCTCCGAGCATGTCGGGAGACCACCGCCGGCCCGGCAAAACCCGGAGGGATGGTGCCGCTCCGAGCATGTCGGGAGACCACCGCCGGCCAGGCACGCTCCGAGAATTTCGGGAGACCACCGCCGGCCCGGCAAAACCTGGAGGGATGGTGCCGCTCCGAGCATGTCGGGAGACCACCGCCGGCCAGGCACGCTCCGAGAATGTCGGGAGACCACTGCCGGCCCGGCAAAACCCGGAGGGATAGTGCTGCTCCGAGCATGTCGGTAAACCACCGCCGGCCAGGCACGCTCCGAGAATGTCGGGAGACCACTGCCGGCCCGGCAAAACCCGGAGGGATAGTGCTGCTCCGAGAATGTCGGGAGACCACTGCCGGCCTGGCAAAACCCGGAGGGATGGTGCCGCTCCAAGCATGTTGGGAGACCACAGCCGGCCCAGCGAAACCCAGAGGGATGGTGCTACTCCGAGCGTGTCGGGAGACCACCGCCGGCAGTGGGGGTGCTGGGGGGGGGGGGCAGGGTCAGCCAGGTCACTAGCCCGCCGCCAAGTATGACCATCACGGTTACCAGGGACAACGCTGCTCTTCTGACTGAGAATGTGCTTACTGCAGGGGGCGAGTAAGCCTCATTCTCAAGGTCCATCAAACAAACTTATATTTAATTAATGTGTGCCATTTTAGTGGAGAAATAATGGCGTGCATCTGATTGTAGTGTGGAAAACCAACCCCCAAACGCCCTCCCCCCAAATAAGGTGAAAGTTTCAAAAAGCGATTGGAAGCTGAAGTTGTTTCTGCTGTTTGTCTCAAGCGTTTATTTTGAAAAGATACCCAAAGGGGGGGGGCGGTGCAGGCCGGCCGGCGGTCACCCGAATCGGGGGCACCCCGGCCCCATTAGCATCCATTTGCGGCAGGAGCAGGATCTGGCCCGTCTCGCCAAAGGGAAAATGACATTTTTTGTATGACTGCCGTAGCAATCTGGAGGCTAATGGGGCGATTTAGCGCTATCAGAAAGGAAAGGGCACTTCTGAGCAGCAGCCCTGCAAACTGCTTCTGACAGAGGGAATGAGCCCCGGCCGGGAGGAAACCCAAGAGCCACAAGGGAAACTGACGTTGGCGAGAGCCAGAATATTCCTGCTGTTTGTATTAACAGATATTTTCCCCGTAATCAAAAACATCAAACGCAAACCGCTTACCACGGGAACAGTCATTCCACCCCAAGCCTTAAAACATTAACTTAAAGGCCCAACTATTCTCTTCCTCCCCCCTCCCCCCTCCCCGTTTATTTTTTCCTATAGCCGCAGCCCCCCCCCCCCTCCCTTATGTATTAGCTGTTAATCACCGGCACTATTTAATTTTGGAAGGTGCCGGAAAGTGTGTGTGTGGGGGGGCGGGGGGGCTGCTCTGATCAATGCTGTATGGGGTGTACTGTGTCGGCACGCTGCCGGGACGTTCCCCCCTTGACCCTGGGGCCGTACCGCGGCCGCCGTACAGCACTGAGCACTCTTTGACCGCTTCCAGTCAATGTGAGCATTCACGGGTGATTCAGCTCAATACAGCACCCAGAAGCTGCAGGTGAGTGTTGGGAGAGGGGAGACAGGCAAGGGGTGGCGCTGGGGGGGGGGGGCAGAAAGGCTGAGGAGCTGGGATCCGAGATCATCTGCCCGTCTAGAAATAATTTGGGGCAGAAGGTCCCAGTAAAAACAAACCGGGGGAATAATGACGAGATCTTTTCAGCAGAAGGGGCAAATCTACCTCAGGGGAGGGGGGGGGACAGGGATCCTGTTATACATTTCAAAGGAGATCTGCCCTGATTTCCCTGTTATCACTCAGGCCACATGGCACCCTCAAGCCCACAAATGGGGGCTCTGGGGATGAGACCCATCTGCATGTAGTTCTGCTCGTGTCAGGTGAGGCTGCAGAGATGCTTCTCCCACGTAGGGGGCGCTATAAAACCATCGGCGACACTCCGTGGTTTTTACGCACCAGCTGCCGTTCAACATCCTGCCGGGCGTGTTTACTGCGGTTTCCATGAGGGGGCGCTCCTCCAGCTCTCAGTCTGTTTACATTCACCCCAGGCTGCTTGGCTAAAAGTGCCCCCCCCTCATTTATACATCTGGGCACATCTGCAGCAAACCACTTACACACACTGAAACGATTCAGAGTAACTACCATGCTGAAAGGCACCATGACCGCTCCACCCCCAGGAGTCCAGACCCTTCGCCGCTGTGCCACCTGCTTCGCCCCCCTTCCTCATCCCTCCCCCACATTCAGCGCATGCAGTCAGGCAGGGTCAGAAATACCAGCTCCTGTACAAACCGGAAGGCAGTCAAGCGGCGAACTTCAGCCCACAGACAGTCCCTGTCACATCACCAGAGCAGAGCTTCCATTAAGCAGCATGCACTCCCCCCAGCCACACCCTCCCACCTGCGAGCCCCCCAGCCAAGCAAGGTCTTTAATCAGCTGCTGCCACCTACTGACACCACCGGAACAGCAGTGATATCATTAGGCCCAGGGATGATATCAGACACACGGCAATAAAAAGCATTTGATTAACAGCAGTGATGTCATCAGGCAGGCCTGATGATGACATCAGACACACGGCAATGAAAGGCCTGTGATTAACAGCAGTGATGTCATAAGGCAGGCCTGATGATGACATNGAAAGGCCTGTGATTAACAGCAGTGATGTCATAAGGCAGGCCTGATGATGACATCAGACACACGGCAATGAAAGGCCTGTGATTAACAGCAGTGACTAGATAAATACAAAAATAAACAAACAAACAAATAAACAATTAAATAAATAATTCCAGGTGACACTAGCAAAGAGAAGGCCAGGACAAATGAAGATAGCTGGCTGTTTTTGGTGGTGACACTTAAACAGAAATGCATTTTAGTTGATAATTCAGTGATTTCGGGATTTAAAAAAAATACCAAATGCTTCCTGGGAATTGACAATAATAAAACGAATTTAGTAAAACAAAAGAAAATATGAATTATATGTTAAGTGACTAGGCTAAACTAAAGAAATCACCGCAGTGAGCGTGTATGGGGCCCCGCCCCCCTACCATCATCACCACAGTGAGCATGTATGTGGCCCCGCCCCCTCTCATCAGCACCGCAGTGAGCGTCTATGTGGCCCCGCCCCCTCATATCAACACCACAGTGACCGTGTATGTGGCCCCGCCCCCTCTCATCATCACCACAGCGAGCATCTATGTGGCCCCGCCTCCTCTCATCAACACCGCAGTGAGCATGCATGTGGCCCCGCCCCTGGTCATCTTCACCGCAGTTAGCGTCTATGTGGCCCCACCCCCTCATGATCATCATCACTGCAATAACCATGTATGTGGCCCCGCCTCCCCAGTGGTCACCTTCAGTCATGTCCATGGAGTCAGGTGGCACGCAGTGCCCGGCGTGGCTCACTGCCCACACAGGGTGGAGGCCCTGGAAGCTCTGCCAGAGTGTCCTCATGAAGGGCCGGTAGAAGCCCACCAGTCCTGGGTTTCCTGTGGAGACAGCGGACAGGTTAGTGGGTATCCCCAGCGGCATTCTGGGAATCATCCAGAATCATCACCCGACTGCCAACATCCAGCAACCTGAGCAACAGCCGGCACCAGCCAGCGGGCAGGTCGGAGGACCACCGCTCTCCCACTCCCCGCCCCCCCCTCAACACTGCGCCAGCAGGTTGCAGCCCAAAACAGAACTGGGGCACTGCTGGTTTTAAGTCGTCGCCAAGGAAATCTCAAGGGTCTGGGAGCAAAGCAAATCAAGAAGAGGTAGCCCCCCTCAGGCAAAGTGATGACATAGTGGGGAGGGCAACAGGGAAGAATGGAGATTCATTCTGGGGGGGGGCTTGAAGCACACAGTTCCACCGAATTTCGGCTCAAGGAGTGTGCCACTGGCCCCGTCTGCGCGGGTACGCGCCGCCCCCTGGCCCCGTCTGCGAAGGCACGCCCCGCCCCCTGGCCCCGTCTGCGCGGGCACGCCCCGCCCCCTGGCCCCGTCTGCGCGGGCACGCGCCGCCCCCTGGCCCCGTCTGCGCGGGCACGCCCCGCCCCCTGGCCCCGACTGCGCCGGCACGCCCCGCCCCCTGGCCCCGTCTGTGCGGGCACGCCTCGCCCCCTGGCCCCGACTGCGTGGGCACGCCCCGCCCCCTGGCCCCATCTGCGCGGGCACGCCCCGCCCCCTGGCCCCGTCTGCGCGGGCACGCCCCGCCCCCTGGCCCCATCTGTGCGGGCACACCTCCCTGTTTCAGTCTCATCTGCTCTCTTATTTCTCTCCAGGCTAAAAGCTCCATTAAATTAAACACAGAGGCACAGATCTGCTCATTTCCACAGTGATGAAGCGAAACTGCAAATGGTCAGCATTTCATTCTAATTTTCTCTGGCTCAAAAGACAGAAGGAATTCCAGAATGTTAATATTGTAACAGACAGCCACCCCAAAGGACATATAATTAAAAAAGAGAGTCTTATGGTGAACCAAGGGAAGATTATTTTAGATTTCTGCTTCAGCATCAGTGCAAATCCACTGAAATTCAGTCATTTCCAATGTGGTCTTACGTAATGAAATAACCTTTCTGGTGTTTAATTTCCTGGGGCGTGGAACTGTGGCCAGGAGCTGGCAGCTTCAGAAAACCTCCAGAGCAGCGTGCGCTCATCATAAACGCACTCCTTCACCTGGAACACCGAGGACCAGGGTGTGGGCGGGGCAAAGGAAAGCCCACACCATACAGATACACCACCAGAAGAATAATCCAGAACACAAGGAGCAGAATGTCACGCACAGAAACAGAAATTTAAAGCCGATTTTCAGGTTGAAGTTCACGAGATGTACTTTACTTGACAGAGTACTCTAATCTGGCAAAGCATAAAATTAATAAATGCAATTTCGTAAGTTTATTACATTTTCTTCAATCTACTACAAAGTGTTGCACCTGTGACATTTCCTGCCTCTGAGCAGGTAGGTCGGAATCCATGTTGCATATCGGGAAGGCTGTGTTCAAAGGTTATGACAGATAATATGGATACAACAGTAACATTTCCCACAATGCACCTGAGCAGCAGTCGCCCATCTGGGAAGGTCGTCAGTTCTAATTAATCTAATTAATGCCCCATCTGTCAACCAGCTACCTCAGTCACGGACGGAGATAAATAAAACCGTCCCAGCACAGCTAAAAGTCAACACACAGACTCGCACCCCCGCCCCACGACAAACAGGGTTCAAGGATCCAGAGCGCCCCCCGGCCACGAGGGCCCCTCGCCTCTGAACAAACACATTTGTACATTATTATTGCGTTTTATTCATGGGGATCCAAATCTGTCCCAGACGGATCCGTGTGGCTCAAAGGGATTCCAAAATAGAGACCTCTGTACCCAGAGCCACAAGAAAGCCCCAGGCCCCCCGCATTCCCAGGCCCCAGGCCGTGTGTGTGTGGGGGGGGGGTGGTATAGGAAGAAAGGGGACCCCCAAAAAGGGGAGCCAGCCCCCCCAGTAAAGACTCAGCTCCACAGACCGGGTGGGTCGAAGTTAAACCTGTTAATTTTCCTTTGTAAAGACAACTGAAATATCTGTCCTCAATAAACACACTTCACCATGACCCCTGGCCATCTACACACTGGTGCCCCCCTCCTAATACACACACATCACTGGGAGAAAAGGAAAAAACAGGGAAGCGTGACAGGTTGGGGGAGGTCTTATCCTGGACCGGATGCTAACCAATGCCCCCTGCAGGTCGAGCGCAAAGCGAGCACTTAGGAGTCGGGATGAGAAAGGGAGATACCAAGGGATGGGGGGGGGGGGGCAGACACTTTGCGAAGTTTCCACAGCTCTTCAGAGAAGGGCCACGGCGCACAGCCTGATGTCAGACGCCAGACTGGACCTCCTCCAAATGTCACTGTGAAGCTGCAGAGTTCTGGAGATAAGGAGGACACTTCATTTATCGAGGAAGCAAGGCTTGTGGGAAAGAACGAGGCCGACACAGAGCACTGGCGGGGTGTGGGAAAGCGCGGGATTCGCAGAGACCTTCAGAGGCACTTAGCCGGAGCACACTGACAGTGCGCAGGGCCTTGGAGAGCAGAGATGAGGGCGGCGGGGCACGGAGACGCGATGGAACAGCTCGCAGCGCGCCAACGGGCCCTCCTGTGGGACACGCGGCATATCGGATTTACACCATCTCCGCATAAAACAGCCCAGCGCTCGCAGTCACAGGAGAACACTTCAGAGCATTCTCCAGAACGATCTTTATGTTCTGCATGTTTTGTACATTTGAGGAGAGAACGGATTTCCCTCCGCGAACATCTCATTAAACCGTGAAACGTCTGTAATGCTCCCGGAAGGGTCGGCACGCCGCTCCGCTAAGACCGCGGCCGGATCCGGCTGGCCTCTCCGGTCCTGTATCGCAGCCCTCTCTGCATACAGATGTTGTCCTTCCTGGCTGAATTCTGGGTGCGTTCCACATGGAAAAAAGGCCAAGTGGAGAAAGTACTGGCCTGATTCCATGAGGCTCACGCCCAGTGAGAGCGACGTCTGCAGGGAGAGCAAGACAGAGAGAGACTAAGAAAAAGAGAGAGAGAGAGAGACACTCAGAGAGACATTCAGAAAAACAAACACCCAGAGAGAGAAGCACTCAGAGACAGAAACAACCTGAGAGAGACATTCAGAAAGATACCCAGAGAGAGAGAGACATTCAGAGAGAGACACTGAGAGAGACATTCATAGATAAAGGAACTGAAAGAGAGAGAGAGAGAGAGACACCCAGACAGACACTGTACAAGAATAAGAAGGAAGAAGCTTCCAGAAGCTCCAAATGTACAGGTGTGTATGATCAGCCAATCACAAACTGCTCCCCTACTAGTGACCCAATTAGTTAAAAAAAAATAAACATAATTTAAAAAGCCCACCACAAATGACTCCCAGGAGGTTCTGGATCTGTCCTCCCCTCCCCTCTCCTCCCACTCCTTCTCACTCCATCATCTACTCTCCTTGTGTGCCTGCAATTACAGCAGGAGCTGTCCAGATCACAGAAGGACACAGAGGCCAGGCCAGTGCACCAGGCAGGAACAGTGAGTTGGCGGACATGAAAAAAATGTAACTAATGTTACAATTAGCAGAGGATTATTGTGTGAAACAAATAAAAGCATTACATTCATTTGTGTCCAGAGACACAAATCAGAATGAAGTTCCCCTAACAGTCGCGGTAGGGGGGGGGGGGGGGGAGGCCCAGTACACAGAAGTGGTTGCAAAGACAAACAGGACATGTTTGTTTAGCAGACAGAGGGAACGACACTCGCGTAACCTGCAGGCTTGACCCAGACAAATTATTGGGTCCTAATGGTATTTTATTCAGCCCGGGGAAGAGGTGTTTACTTTCAGAGTCTTTAAAGAGATCAGCAGGTCAAAGTATCAAATACCGGGGGAGGCAAAACGCTGGTTCACACAGCAGACTCCAGGGGCTCCGCTCCACTGCCTCTTGGCACGGGGGAACCACGCCCCCTACAGGTGAGAAGTGGCCTATCAGATTCCCCAGCGCAGCAGGGAGCTGGACCCCCTCGTTCAGAGGAGACTTTCGTTAAGCGACCTTGTTATAAGGTGAAGCACCACGGTCGCCTCCTCCTCTACCACCAGACCACCTGCAGGAGGAACGAGCAACAGCATCTCTGAGATGAACTGAAGCAGAGGCAAATGCAACTCTTTCCCAGGGGCTTTTATGATTCAAAAACAAGCAGATTAATGAAGATCAGAAGTCAAACACTTTCACCCCCGACTAAGAAAACAAACAAAGAAAGAAACAAACAAACACTACCAGTTCAGACAGTGAGCTGTAATGCAGGCAAACAGAAAAGCCAGAGCCTCTCTCTTAACCTCTCTGTGTCGCTCCTCTTTTCATGGTCATTCCATAATGCTCATACCTAAATGTCCGGCAGCAAACCCAGCAGAGCGCCGGCATGTCAGCCCCCGTGTGGAGGCTGCTGCTCCGGACCACTCAAACCCAAAAAGCTGGAACATGTCAACATTTCCCCATCACTCCCTGCAGTAACTCTCATTGAAACAGCATTAATATCAGATAAAATCCAGCAAAAGAGTAACTACCGGGGGGGGGCGCCCAGCACATGGGACAAACCCGATTCTAACTCTCCAACAAGCGCTCCAAAAAGAACGAAAGGGAATGGAATGATGGGCAAACGAAAGCAGAGGATGGTTAATCAGATGGGTCGCCTCCCCCCAGGCCCTTTAGGCATGCCCCCCCCCCCACCCCCCCAGGCCCTGGCACGTGGACCAGGAGTCAGCGCCCCCCCGCAGCACCGTTCACCACCTAGCTGTTCCGTAAACTAGTTATCATCCATTTAATGAGCATGAAGCAGGAATAGTGGCTAGCAGGGATTGGGGGGAAACCCAGAGCCCAGAAGATGCCCCCCCCCCCCCTTCAAACCCAGCAGAGACTCTCACATCGACCTTGGGCTCAACCCAACGCCCACACAGCGCCTCCTTCAGAGTTAAGGACAGACA